GGGCCACGACATTTCTTTAACAGTAACGGCTACATTAACATTTACATGCGTCTGCATTTTTTCGCAGTTGCTCAAAAAATGCATCGCTTTTTTTTCCGAATTGGTTCAGCCTCACGTCACGCGTAATCCGCTTTGGATGGGAAGCGTCTGCAAAGCGACTGAATGTAAATGCGGATGCGTTGCGCCCCGTAAATGTGTGTGGTTTTGCGCGACGCCAAGTCACATGGCTCTACGGATCGATTGGAAACGGCCCTCTGAACCTTACCGGTATGTAGAGTAGTACAGCGAGCCGTCATCATGAGGCTTTCGTACTCAACTGTATCAGACACGGCGCTGGGAGAGCCGTTTCAACTGCTAAGCCATGTATTCGCGTGTGTGGAAAGGGACCAACTCATTTCACTGGGAAAACATCATTCTGTTTCTCCTGGAATACACTTGAGTCCTATCACACATTTCTGAAATACAACCCAACAATGTTATTAAATTGACTATTGGGGAGGAGGGAAAAAAAAGGGTCCATGTTCAGCTTTGGCCAATTCAGCTTTATCATGCGTAAGTGATCCGACAGGTAGACGTGTTAACCAAACCGTCCGTGTCCAACGTACACATACCTTGTGTTTCTCTTGGCCTGCGATTGCTATGACAGCACAGCATGTACACATTACAGCCTCCGCCAGGAACACATGTGTGTGTACGCATACCCCCGGCCTCTCTGATACCGTGAGAACAACGCGGGGAAAGGGGCCCCGACACGGGGGAGGGGGGGGGGGTTTCCCCGTGAAGCCCTTTTTCAACGACCCTCTTGGATGTCATGAAGTACATTTTAACCAGCTTGATGAGGATTACCACACTCCTTTATGGGGCTTGTGCATCAGAATGCATCATGGGACTTTGCTGGCGATACTCCGCCATATTGAGGGGACTCAAGAGAGTTGTAGTACTGAACAATCCTAATTTAACGTAAATATGTCGTAACCCAGGCTGAAACTTTGTTTTGCCACGTCTCGCATGAGAAACGCTGTGGCAGTTTCGAACACAACGTCTCCCCATAATGACAAAACATTTCACGATTAATTACTAAACAATGACCAAAAAACCATGACTACCAACATAATAACATAATAACTAACATCCCGATGCTGTTCCAGAATGGAGGCGGTCATTGTGATGTGACGTTGCGATGCACAACCCCATAAGTGAGCTGGTAGGGATACAGTGGAGTCATTGTTCTCAAACCCCTTTGATAGTAGTTTGTCTAAACCCGGGATCAGATGACCTCCACATGCTCCTTCCCCTCAGGGGTCTGCAGCCTTGTTGACTGCAGGTCTAGATGAGGTCAGGACCCGACCAAATTTGACATGACCGTCATTAGCATCATCGATGGGAATCTGAAATGCCAAAGGCTGCCAGTGTCAAAAGGCTGTGTTCAGTTCTCCTTACAATTCAACTGGGAATGCGCAAAACACCATTGTATATTTTTTTTAAACTCAATGTTTTACTCCAGAGTGGGATTTAACGACTGGTCTTAATGTACTTAATCATTTATAAAAATATTATACTTTGTAGGACTACAAAATTCAAAGACTCCTTTATTTGCACTGCAATTAGTACAAATGATTGCACTAAGCACTTTTTGCACTCATATTGTGTCTTAACATTAAGTGTACTGTATTGTACTGCTGTTCCTGTTTCCTATCTGGTATGTTGTCTTATATATTTTATGATGGATTGAATGTGTTTTTACTGTAATACCTGCCTGCAACCAAATTTCCCGTAGTGGGATTATAACATTTGACTTGACTTGACTTGACTAATTTACCAATCGTCTGCATAGTAGCACTCAATAAACAACGAGGAAGGTACATCCACAAGGAACCAACCGTCCAAAGCAACAAGGCTGAGTCTGGAACAACAACTTAATTCTTGCTGACGCTGTTGACAGTCCATCTGACATCATGTTGTGTACCCAATTAAAGAGCTCATAGACCTAGGGGCTTGCCTTTACTGTGTGGGGGGGGAGTCGAGTGGCATTTGCATATTCTGTGCTAGTTAAATCAAAAGCGAGGCAGCAAAGCGTTATGAAATGCATTCTCTCAGATCGCCGTTACGATCTGAGGCTGCCAGCTCATACAATATTGAGCTCTTTGTCCGCAAAACAGATTCTGATTCGTCGGGTTGGAAGCGGAGAACTGGGGCAAGGAGCGATTCAAGCTGCATCCCAGAATGCCGTCTGCTCTCGGATGAAGTGGTGCCGACTCTGCTTTATACGCTAGCCTATATAAAATATGACAGCTGCTTTTTATGTTTCCCTCTTATTAATCAGGGTTGTCATTTGGTGAGGTTGCCATAGTACTCAGTTAAATGAACTCATATAACCTTTAAATCAAATACTTTACCCCTCAAGCAAGCAATGGAATTTTCTTTGACAAACTATTTAAAATTTCGTTTTTTCCTTTTTCACAGTAATTATTATGATTACTATTACTATTAATATTATTATTATTAGTAGTAGTGGTAGTAGTAGTAGTGTGCCTATATAATAAATACATATTTAATTATATTACACATTTTATTCTTACAGTTAATTCTACCACCTATATGTTGAGAATCTCTATAGTTGAGCAACAGCTCACTTTCCTGCTGGAGCTGGGAAATGAGATGCCAAGAGCAATCCTCCCTGGATTATATCAACAGAAACTTCAAAGGAGAATTATTTTAATCCCGCTTTATTGATATGAGGGGAAGAAGAGAAAAAAAAAAGCGAGGTCACGTGATAGCGGTTGAGAAATTAACGTGTTCTTGAACGCTGCCTGTGGTCTCAATGTTGAAACAGAAAAACAAGCTGTAGGTTTTTCTTGTTCTCTTATGTGTAGGTTAAAGCCCGGACAAACATAAGTTTACTTTGAAACCACCCGGGATGTTGTAGCTCTTCGAGACTTAATTTAAAGATTAACCACACCGATCCCAGGCGTGTACAAGTAACTGTACTGCACTTTTACAGTTGGATGCTCGAGCAAAGAACAGACTGTACTCACCTCTCTCTCTCTTACTCTCTCTCTGTCTCTCTCTCTGTCTCTCTCTCTGTCTCTCTCATTCTCTCACATGCAAATTAAGCGATAATCCATCACTCTTCATTACAGTTATGTTAATGAAGCACTTATGGTTGAATTCATAGCACAGTGATCATGCATTATAGAGTAGAGTACAGGAAATGTGTGTTCATGTATACTAATAAACTGGGAGTGTTTTTTTCTGAAGCCGATTCAGTATTCAGCCAACAGATCTATTTCAGTACACAAGAGACTGCATTCAAATCAAGTGGCTTGACCTTTCACCCCTGGAGGGTTCATAAATGTCGCCTGTGTCGCTGTGACTCACCAAAAAGCCAGAAGTGGAATAATACAGACAGATTCAAGGAACACACACACGCATGCACACACACACAATCAATCAATTGGGGGTGGGGGGGCAGGATAGCGACTGTTTTCCAGCCAAAAGGTTCTGGGTTCGATCCCTAATGTCTGCAGCCTATGCGTAGGCGTCTTTGGGCATGATGCCTCACGACCTGCCTGTTCCTTAATGACCTGCATCTGAATTCACTGTAAGTCGCTTTGGATATGAGCGTCTGCTAAATGATTGAATATAAATACAGGGTATAGGTAAATGATAGTCCTCAGTATATATTTCACATAAAATACTTACAAGTTTGACATTTATTGGTTTGAGGTTTATTATTTTTTCCTCTCCCAACAGTCGCAAAAAATATTAATGCGAATGATATTTATGATTTTTTTTATTTAAGATATTTTAAAAAAGCCTTTTAAGGCCTTGGATTTACATTTTTGAATTCAAGACTTTTTGCTGTTAATAGCTCCGCGACGGGTAGCCAGTAAATATTAGGGACTCCATGTTTATTCCATGGTCATGTATTTGACGGTATTTTACATTCAGTAGTCACCATGCCGTTCTTTGACAGAATAAACAACACACTGCGCACTGTGTGTGCTCGGCGGTCTTCGCTGTGACGGATTGGCTCGAAACGGACTGACCTTTAAAGGATTCGGAGCGGCACTGGAATGACAGATTTCTGTGGATAAGTGGATGTCAAGCAGCGCTGCTGTGGATGCATGCAGTACAGTAGTGCTGACTGTTCTGGTCCGTGTTCTTGTGTGCCCTGAGTGTGGCAGGCAGTGTCGAAACACGTGTGTTTCAATGTGTTTTTCAACGTTGCTGTTTGTGTAAGTCAACATAAATGTGTGTGTGTCAAAGGTGTGTGTCAGTGTGTGTGTGTATGTGTGCATAAACGTGTGTGTGTGTGTGCATGAACGTGTGTTTGTATGCTTGTGTGCATGCATGTGTGTGTGTGTGTGTGTTTGTATGCATGTGTGCATGCATGTGCAGGTGTGTGTGTGTGTATCAAAAGGCGGCGTGTGCTAGTATGTCAAAGGGTTGGATTTACTGCAGGTTGCACGGTGACACATTGATGGCGTGTGAGTTACTGCGGGCCGGGGGGGGGGGGCAGGCAGGTTGGAAGGCTGCTGCCGTTGGCAGGTCTCTAATATCACCACAGGGCAAGGACACACGGCAGCACGCCGCGACACAGCCTCTTAAATCACCTGCTCGCTTCCTCCGAGCAGCTGCACATGTGTCCCGGCCAAGATACGTGCACTTCACTCTGTCCACTCACTTGTGGACACGGTGTACTGCTACATGTACTGTAGTGTACACACACATAGATGCTATCGTTCAACACGGAGTGGGTCTGAAACAGATGCAGTCTGCGTCCACTATTTAGTCATGTAGGAGACATATTTATATTCCTAACCTGCTTGAGTTTCACAAGTTGCTTTGGATAAAAACATCTGCCAAAATCGGATTTGATTTCATACACTTTAGACATACATCTATCCCCAAGGGGGGAAACCGGGTCGGTCAGTAGAAATTGGTGGATGCTTTTATACCAAAGCGCCTTACCGTGAGTGCACACATTTTTGTATGGCTGGTCCCGGTGGGAATCGAACCCCTAACATAACACTAGCAATGTGAATGCCATGCTCTGCCAGTTAAGCTAGTCAGGAGCGCATAGTCTCCCATGAACACCATCACACAACCTCACAGAGACGTGCATAAAACATCCCTAATCATTAAGCCTAATCATAGCGCAGTATCCAACAGGTCACCAAGGAGCAGGTAGGAGGTTATGAGGATCAGGGAATCGAACCCAGTGCCTTTCGGCTAAGAAACGAACACTCTGTGTCTGTACTACACTACGCCACCGCACTATCCTGCGCCCGCTATACGATGTCACGAACGCCGGTTGAAGTGATGCAGCCAGGCTGTTGGCTGTCGATGACTCAGATAGGGCCTGAAGCCAGCGGAGACCACAATATCTCCAAACATCTCTGAACTCAAAGCCAGGGATGATGCATGCCAGCCAGCCTACTGGAACTAAGCATAAGCTGCGCATTTCCTTTGACATCACACAGACACAGACACAGTTAAGCATGCATTCAATGTTGACACTAAGATAGATGAGAAGGAGGCCGACTCTATTAGTTGCAGGTGAGTGGGTGGGAGGGGGTGGGGGTTTGAATGAGGACGATTGGGGGGGATCAAAAGACGGAAAAGAGGGGTGGGGGTGGGGTGTCCACACAACATTTTTGTGAGAGCGACGAGGAGGGGTGAGGAAGGCAGGAATGGAGGACCGACAGGATGTTGGAAGGAGGTGTAGAGGGTGGGGGGGGGGGGGGGATGCTAATGTGAGGAGACAGGGCCGGCCATGGGGAGCATCTGTTTGTAGACTTCCTCCTCCTTCTGCTCCGCATCTGAAGCTCTCTCTCTCTCCCAAGCTCTCTCTCTCTCTCTCTCTCTCTCTCTCTCCTTCTCCTTCTCCTTCTCCTTCTTCTCCTGCCCATTGCTCCTCTCTCTGAGTTGAGCGTGTTGAGTGGTTGTGTGTACACAGTGTGGTCTTCGGCTGGTTTTCAGCCATTAGGGAGGACAAACTGCGCCTGGCAGCGGCTTGGGACAGCGAGGCCACAGCTATTTCAACACCCCCACCCTCTGGTATATATCCCTTCTGTTTAATAGTAGCTATAAAAATTTCAAAAGTGTCCACTGGAGAAATATGAGAGAGAGAGGGATAGAGAGAAAGAAAGAAAAGAAAAGAGAGAGAGAGAGAGAGGGAGAGAGAGAGAGAGAGAGAGAGAGAGAGAGAGAGAGAGAGAGAGAGAGAGAGAGAGAGGGATCGAGAGAAAGAAAGAAAAGAAAAGAGAGAGAGAGAGAGAGAGAGAGAGGGAGACAGACAGACAGACAGACAGAGAGACAGAGACGGGAGAGTCTGTGCAGTCCTATTACATAAGAGATTAGCATTTTTAAAGCATGTGGCAGGGTTTTTGTGTTCTCCATTCAGTGCTTTCTAAGCCATGTCCTGCCAGCGCACCCTGGGTGTATCCAAGGAAGGAAATCTGGATACAATTTGAGGTCGATCAAACCTCAAGTCACAGAGAAGCTAACTGATTACTTGTGGACACTCGGCTTGACTAAGCAGCAGATTGTGGAATTCAGCCGGTTGTATAAAAGGCTTGTATTTAGAAAATCCCTCTCTCTCTCTCTCTCTCTCTCTCTCTCTCTCTCTCTCTCTCTCTCTCTCTCTCTCTCTCTCTGTCTCGCATGCGCGCTCTCTCTCTCTGTCTCTCTGGTTCAGACCTTTTGAAACCTTAATTCCTATATTTCCTCTTGTTTTGGCCTCAGGATGATGGGGTTCCCTCCAAAAGAAAACACACACACACACCCACACACACACACACACACTCTCTCACTGTCTTTAAAGGAGGCCCGGTGTGTAATGATGTAGTAGATGGTGTCCATCTAGAGCTCTTCCAGACATATCTGAACCGCTGGGAACACAAGAGTGAGGTGAAGCAGACATTTTTGTTTCATAAATAAATGAGTGATACAAGTTCAGATGGAGGGTTGTTTGGCAGCGGCTTGGGACCGTCTGGGACAGCAGACAGCGACAACAGCAATATTTAGACCAAAAGGATCTCAAAAGGATAACCTCAGTCAAATATTAATGACATCGCCTATGACTACGAGCATCTCATTATAAACGCATATAAGCTAATTCCAGTTAACACTATGGGCACATTGCTTCAATGCACTGTTTAACTTCTTCCAATCAATGGGTCTAATCGATTGTCTCCAATAACGGTGTAGTTATAAGCCTTGATTAGCCCTCTGTGATTAAGCACGTGTACTTATGCAACCAAACTGCTTATGCAATGTAGCTCTTACCTAGATCCATTAGATCTAGATCGATTACATCCGCATCGATCTCCATATAGATCCGCGGTGGGGCTACTTCCTGCGAGTGCAAGACGTACGACCTAAAACCACCCGGCTGGCAGGTCGCACACACAGAATAAAACCTCCACTTCATTACATATACGTCAAGAAGAGTGTTTTTTAACCAGTGGTGGAAGAAGTACTGTACTAAATGTAGTAATATCACACTGTAGAAATACTCTGGTACAAGTAAAAGTCCTGCATTGAAAATGTTACTTAAGTAAATGTACAAAAGTATTATCATCAAAAAAATATACTTAAAGTTCCAAAATTAAATCGCTCATTATGCATTCATGTCTTCGTCACTTTAATGTTGCAGCCGATAAAGGAGCTCATTTTAATTAAATCATTTTTTCCTCCTGGGGACCAATAAAGCCTTATTAATATAATAATATAATTATATTTGTATTGTTATAATGAATCTGCAAAGTATAGTAACTAAAGCTGTCAGATAAATGTAGTGGAGTAAAAAGTACAATATTTGCCTCTGAGATGTAGTGGAGAAGAAGTATAAAGTAGCAGAAAATAGAAATACTCAAGTAAAGTACAAGTACCTCAGATTTGTACATAAGTACAGTACTTGAGTACATGTACTTAGTTACTTTCCACCACTGGTTTCAACCATAGACATCCCAATGAGGTAATATATAATTCATAAACAGCTAGAAAATGGCATGGATACACTATAAGTATGTGAATACCCGTTATTGCAGTGTTTCCTGTAATTAGGAAAAAAGCGTAATTGTGGTATTAACATTTTGTTACCCAAGGGTGAGTATGTATTGTGGCGTTGCTAGGGTGACCTTCAGTGTGATTTCACAGTTCACTAATCCGCACTATTATAGCATGATAGAAGTTGTATCCATTCCACACGCTCACTCCCTAAGGGTGATGCATAAGTTTGAGATTTTCCCTGCTAAACGAATGGCTCAGTGGCCAAGTATGATGCGTGGCGCCATTAGAGGAGCTGCTGCTGCTGTGTGATTGGTTGTGCGGCCGCTGGGTATTGATCGGTGAGCGGGGGAGCGCTAGAGAGCGATAGTAATGCTGCTGCATTGCAGCTCTCTCATAGGACCATGCATCATTGACTCTGCAGAGGAAGAGATGTAACAAGTGCATTCACACACACACACACACACACACACACATACACACACACTTGCATGCACATGTACACTACACACACACACACACAAAGGTGAACACATGCACGCACACACACACACACACACACACACACACACACCAGCACATACAGGCATACAGGCACGCATACGCACACACACACACACACACACACACACACACACACACACACACAAGGCCATTAACAGTACCCCACTGAGTAGACACCTGCTACCATAACTGTTCATCACTCACAAGGGAGTCAATCCATTACAGGAACAGGGAGGTTCAGAGTAAAGGACGCTGCACGCTACACAACTCCCTGCAGTCACATGTGTGTATTAAGTGTTATAGGTACATTAAAAGTTAGGTCACAGCCATCGTTAAAACAAAAAAACATTGCAAAATATAACAATTATAACACTGAGAAAAAGTTACCAAAATCTGTAAGAAAATGTCAACCTTTGCATGGTGTGTGTTTAGGTGTGAGTGTGTCTGTGTGTGTGTGTGAGTGGGTGTGTGGATATGTGTATGTAACTGGGTCAAATCCCTCCGGTGCCGCTCAGAGATCGCCCACTGGATATAAACAGAGATGAGATCTAATCCAGGATTGGAGCGAGATCTGATATCTCAATTAAACATCTCTATCCTATTGGATACTGCCTTCTCCTCACCGTCTCTCTCTTCATCTCTGTCTCTCTTTTGTTCTTTGTCTCTCTCTTTTCCTCTCGCCGTGCCACGCGCATGCACATGTGCATGCACATGCACGCAAAGATGCAAGGACGAACGCACGCACACACACACACACACACACACACACACACACACACACACACACACACACACGGTTGCTTGGAACATAAACACATTCCAACAATGGCCTGTTTACCAGTTGTATACTAAGTTGTAGAGGCTCTCACTTTAATTCTCCTCTTTTCACAAATTCACAAACACTAATATAAATAGATACAGATAAACATATACACAACCACTCTGCCTCTCTCTCTCTCTCTCTCTCTCTCTCTCTCTCTCTCTCTCTACATGACCACCTGGTATTAAAACTCATATCCACTTCATCTGGGTTCCACTGGCCTATATTCCTGTGTGTGTGTGTCTGTCTGGATGTCTGTCTGTGTGTGTGGGTGTGTGATGTAACACACAGGATGTTCATAGCAGTCTGCTGTCTGGTAATCTAATTCCTCCACTAGCCTCCTTCACTCAACCATTTTATAGGAACAACATATTTAACTGAAATAAAGCCGGTCTATGACACACGCACGCAGACACACACACACAATGTAAAGTCACACTCACACATTACACACATACACACACACACACACACACACACACACACACACACACACACACACACACACACACACACACACACACACACTGACTCCTCCATCCAGCTTAAAGTAGAATGACAGTGGAACAGACAAGTGTTCTCGCCGCTGAAGCCTGAAATTGCCTTTCCTCCCTTCTGCAGCTGATTGTGTTTATACTGCAGGGGCCTATCGGCACTTTCAATACCTCTCTGTGTGGCTGTGTGTGTGAGAGACAGAGGGTGTGTGAATGTGTGTGTGTGTGTGTGTGGACATTGGTGAT